GGTGAGGGAAATGCAGAAAGAAAGGTTAAGTAAATTTTAGTCATATAGCCAGGACTATAAGGAGGTCTCTTGATTTTTGCAGATACACTGTAGAATAAGAATTAGAGGTGAGCAGAAATGCCATACTGTATTTTATTTTATAGCTCCAGATGTGACATGATGAGTGGAAAATAGAATCTCATTTTTTCTACTTAAATATATTGGAGAGCCATGAAGGCCAAAGGGTGGATAATGGGAGAAGATAGGGAAAAGCGGGGAAATATTTTTTTTCCCTTAAAAATAAAGGGAAAAAATTTTGATTTGTGGATTTTAAATAAACTACTTATGTATTGCAACCTAGCCTTAAAACTCCACCAAATAATTTCAGAAGCATACTCTATAGATTTATCTGAAATTATTTATAGCATCATTCATTATAATTCCTGTATGATGGATGACCAGTCTAGTACAACTCTCAAACGCCAAAATAATGAGAAATTTGTCTTCTTGGGACACTGCTATTTTAATGACAAGAAAGCAAGATTCATTGCCTTCTTTTTATTTGAGCTTCTTTCAATTCCTTGTTATCCTAAGAGCGGTAGCTTATTACCCATGTAGAATCTTAGGCCTGCCCTACACATTCTGAAAAATATACATTTTAACGGGATTTGATGGAGGCATATGAAGGTTTAAGAAGCCTTGTTGTGGTTGACTTTTGATCTAGACTGATTGCTATACTGTCTTCCTGCTTTACCTTCAAATATTGGGACCCGAATAAATATTACCAGCAGCATCCATTTAGTCTTACAGAATTTGCAAACCAGAACTGAGCTTTTTTTTTTTTTAATAACATGGGTTTAAATTTTTCTGAAATGAAAAATTAAATTACATTCTAGCTACATCATTATGTTTTAAAAATCTGATATGTAATTCACAACTAAGTTCCTATTAATCTTCTGTTTTAAGGCAAAATGAGAAGTCAGGCTGGAAAGCAGTGTGCTCTTAATTACAGCTCAGAATGAAATTAGTATATGTCATAGTGCTATTAAGTATAGTCAGTAAACTACATTTTTCCCCCTTCAAAAAATGGCAAGGCTTGCTTCTGAAACAAGTGCCTTCCTGCGCCCTTACCCAAGGATGGCAAGTAGCTGGCACGAATTGCTTTTCCTCACCCCTCTCCTTTGCCCATACTCCAGGAACACTGTCAGGGGAGCCAAGCTGTCACCTCAGAATCCCGCTCAAGAAAGCACTCCAGGCAGCCACCTCACATCAGTCACAGCTGGCCCAGAGAGTGAAAACTATTACCAAATGTGGTTTGGCGTACCAAACAGTGTCCTGAAGATATTAAGGAGTTTTTCATTGGTATAAGCAATGACAATTACTATAAACACAGTGCAAGTAGTTCCTGCCTGCATCCCTGATTCAGACCATCTCTCACCCCCGGCGCTGCTTTAGCAGGATTGTCACCAAGGTTGCTTCGGTGAATATTCAACGTGATACTGACAGTTATCGGCTCTCACTCACAGTGTAGATAGTACAGGTCTTGCAATCAGTCAGAAATGAAGACAAATCCATCACTTTCTGTCTGACTTTGTTCACATTACTTTTCTTCCTCATCTGTAAACATCAAATTATTCAAAGTGTACTGAGATTAAATGTTAATGTGACCAGCAAAGTATCTGAGATACAGAGCCGTTTCCTTAATGCTAGCTGCTGCCCCTCTCACTTCCCTCTGGCTCTTAATGGCTTCTTGGTGGACAAGGTGGCACCTGTAAAGCAACTGAAACACTTGCTAGGTTCTTGCATGAGCAGTATCGTCTCTTGCAATGCTGTCAATAAAAGTGCATTTTAGCGGGCAGTCTGTTTACTTATTAGATATTCTTTGGGGGAGGCTCTTACACTTATGAAAATGTGAAAGAGTAACAAAAACTTAGGAGGACTGTGTCTTAACAGTTCTTAATATATTGATGCTATGTGTGTGGGAAGGACGCTAAGCTTTGTGACCACAGTCCAATAACTATTTTTAGAAGCGTTGACATAAGAAAGATGGTTCTCAAGGTATATTTACTGCACCCTGTGAGAGGTACTAACCAAGAGTGGGAACGCTAAAGTATTTGTTCTCCTGACTATAAGTGGAAGCGTGACAGAAATGAACACTGCAGTAGATACATATTATTGTAATAGTAGTTAATGCCCTGCTCTAACGATACTTCCTACGGAGAATTCTCACAGGATCTATTTTTAAAAAGTAAAAACTGACATGTGGACAAGGAATTCTTATTATAGGTGTTATCTTCATAAAATAGAAAAAGGAAATAAATACACTCTGGAGAAAAGCATACATCGATAGAACTTACTGAACGCATACATTGTAAATTACTGAAAATCAGGAATTTTTCAAGAAAGAGTTGAGCATGTTAAAGTATTCAGGACCTTAGAACACTGTGCTGTATGACAGTGTCCTGTCCTCTGGCTTCAATTGCAGAATTCTAAGAACAACACTTTAACTGTCATTGCATTTAATTGGAGAATGCTCCTCTGTAAGTCATTCATTAACAAGTGATCGAGATAAAAATTAAGCTTTTAAGAATCTGGGTCTTGCCCTGGCCAGGTGGCTCAGTTGGTTGGAGTGTGGTCCCATACACCAAAAGGTTGTGGTTCGATTTCTGGTCAGGGCACATACCTGGGTTTCGGGTTCGATCCCCAGTCCAGGCATGTGGGGGAGGCAGGCAATCCATTGATGTTTCTCTCTCTCTCTCCCCCTCACCAGCTTCCTCTCTCTAAAATCAATTAAAAAAATATATCCTCAGGTGAGGATTAAAAATAAATCTGTGTCTTCACTTAGCTTTATGGAAGACATTTAAGTGAAGATTTTAACTGGCTTTTTTTGTCATGCCCTTACAACTATCTTAGGAGCCACATTCCAAGGTAGAAGCAAAATTGATGGTGCTTCTGTTGTTATATTTAGTATTTAATGCTAGAGCAACATTAGTAACCAGCAGACACAGAAATAGTGTGGGGTTTTCACTGTTGAATTTGGTGATTCACCGTGGCAGGGTGACTGCATAACACAAATTCTGATTCCTTTTATAGTTTATTTAATTTAAATTTACCTAGGTTCTGCTGAATATAAAATGAATTGGTGTTAGTTTGTGAATTTGCTTTTTTAAAGTGAACAAAAAAATCACCTGCTGAAAGTATTCAGAAATGTACTTCTATTGGAGCATTTTTTAAAAATGTGCAAAAATGTTTAAAATTAACCTTCACCATAATTCAGTTTAGTAGAAGTAGAAATTGTTAATAGTGATAGCTCAGAAAGTGAAAACTATTAAATAGTATTAATTAGGGCAAATGTTGTAGTACACGATTAGTTTTAGGATTTTCCTTACCTTTGTTCTTTATTGGAAAATGAGTTTTATGTAATTCATGTGGTGAAAGATACAGTAAGAACCTTAACTTTTCTGTTTAACTCTAAAGCTCATTCATGTATTTTATTGATACATTTAACAATCACCTATTTAATGGCTGCTGTGTGATACATACCAGGAGAAGGGTTTCTTTTCAACTCCAGTTTCATCTGGCTTCTCATAAACTGGTAGCTCTAGAAAATGCTGAGTTAATAGTTCGCGACTGTTAACTCCGTCTGTATAAAATTTTAAATATTTTAAAGTAAAATTAAAAGTTTATATTTTCTAAATTTACTTTTAATTTCAACATGCCAAATGATGTAATTCTCAGATCAAGCTATCAATCAATATACATATAGTCAATCCAGTTAAAATGTTCCTTCAGACTATGCTTTATTTTTAAGAGTATTATAGTTATTTAATATAATGTATATTTATATTTATTACATATTTGCATTTAGTTTATAGATACATCTCTCTAAAATGATATGTATCACTGACCTAACAAATATATACTGAGAATCAACATTATTTCTCTGAGAAATATGTATCTATACTACTACTTACTTTATTTTACTTCAAGAATAATTAAAATTAACTTTCTAAGTAATTTAGGAATGAATGAAGGCACATTTCCTAGAGTTTATGAGACAGGAATTGCCTGGGAAAAGGCTGGAGCAAACTCCACTTAAAAATTCCTAAAATATTGCTCCCCGTATGTGTTTTTAAAATTTTTTCAGCCCTGACATATACTTCAGGTGGGCAGTATTTCCCCTTATATTATCTTTACTTTGAACAATAAATTAGAGATTATATATGGCAATTTTTATTCTTGTAAGGTAATACTGAGCTTTGTCTACAACAGTTTTCATATTAGTAACATATCACAAGACGCAAGCATAATTTATATATTTTATTATGATCTCTGAGCAAAAGTTGATCTGTTTCTAAATTATATTTAGTTTTCTGCTTTGTGAATTTCATGTCTAATGCATACTACTGTTTTCTTTCACAAATATGATTTAAAACACAATAACAGTTATAGAATAAAAACTGTCCCATGCTTCCATATTTCTTAGAACATCACATACCATCCGTTAAGTGCTTTTATTCAAATAATTATTTTATTCAAATAATTATAACAGTCAGTTATAATTAGGCCAAATTTGTACTTTTTATAGGCTGAACTATTGAAGCCTGATCCATCCCAATTTGTTTGGATGATGGTAATATTTTTAGTGGCCTGAGAGATTCACCTACCTTATGTAAAAATCTGTATATTGCATTATAGTGTAGGAATTATGGATTAGTAGTTCCTAATAAAAACTTTTGTCCGAGGTTTACACAAAGACCACCTGAGTGACTGAGACAAATAAGCTTACTTCTCTGTGTGTCCATTTTCACACTCTTAAAACTGGGATACTGGCCCCAATTCTTTCCCACACTGGGATAAGTCAGAGCTTTTTTTTTTTTTTTTTTTTAAATAAGGAAAAATCTAATTCCAAGGGTTACTGTAATAATAATAAATGCCATGTTTTCTTTCTATAAATCTAATAGAAGCCTATTTCCAACAATTCTTTATTCCAGACATTAAATCACGTAACAATAAAAATGTAAAAGTCACTCTTTATTGCACATTTACTATGTATTTGACAACCTTATAGTTAAATGAATCATTAGATTACAGTTTGGACATGCACTGCTATTTTAGACTACTGAAAATCAGTCAATAATTTTTTTTATTTCTTTGGGTGCGTAATCTTGTAATTCAAAAAGTATTAATATATTTCTCTAAGTTTCTATTGGTGGGGGTTAGTCTCTTTTTTAATACTTACTATTTTGTTCTTGTAATAATTAAAAATGTTGCACTAAAGCTCTCTTAGGTCTTAGGACAGCCAGCTTTCTTGGTAATAGAAAGGGGCATAATTAGGGATGACTGGAAACCAAAACAGAATATACCCTGTTGGACCAGTGCCCGAGAATGTGGCTTATCTCGAATGCATATATTTGCCTGAGAATAAGTGGTGACTGACTAAATATTTTTTCTGATACATATCCATATTATCATTTTATTTTGTATTTTTACTATTTTTAAGTGGAGGAAAACAGTTTTTACAATGAAGGTAAGTATGAAAGACTGTAAAATTAGAGCCCACAAATCCTAAACAAAGAACAACTATAAATTCATAGTGCATTGGTGCTAAGAGCTAGATAGATCAAGTCTAGTTTGTTACATGAAAAACATTAATAAATTACTAATAAGTTACTTATTCTCGGACTTCCTATAAACACCCACATTTTATATAATACAACATTATAAAAAGTTCAAAGCACAGTTACAAAATGTTTAAGCAATTGTTATCTGTATCACCCGTGATTGTTCAACTGTGGTAAGGTGTGAAAATTCCTAAAATGGAAAGAAAAAATAGCAAAGAAAGCAGAAAACAATGAATCCAATGATCCAGTTCACTGAGTAAATGTAGATGATCACCATATCCATGTCAAACCACCACCCACGGCTGTCATCCTCGAAGTGCAGGTAGTCCATCCGGTGCGCACCATGCGGGAACTGCCTCCTGGTGACTGGGGCCGCGCGTCTGTGGAAGCCTAGAACAGGTATGAACACGCTATTTTAAAGTCCCTTCAACTCCAGACATGTGATCAGACAGGACGATGCACTATGAACTGAGCATATCAAATTCCACTCGGTGGTCTGTTGTATTCCTGACAGGTTTTTCCCCAATGATAAGCAACTATCAGCAGTCTCTTTTAGTTAAGGGTTTTTAGGGTAGGGGCAGTAAAATCAGCAGAGTTCAATGAACTAATTAATGAAATAAAATTAGCTTTAATTTTTATAAATTTCTAATTATATGTCTATTTAAATGACTGGTTGGTACATAGAGAGCAACTCTCAAAAGTAAACAATAGTCCAAGTGATATGACTAAATGAATGTAACATTTCTGAGAAATACCACCTCTCACTGTGAAATGCTGTCTTTTTTCTTTGTGACATTTACATGCCAATTATTCAGAGCTTGAGTATACACTTGCCAGTGGCAACCTGGTTTTGTTGGCTGATTAATATGTAAATTCAAAAGTTTCTAAAACTAAAATTCATTTTCTAAAGACTGATAACCTGGTTATTAATCGTTGCTTTTTACTTATCTACTGCCTCCTCTATTTCTGTACTTATTAGTGTTAGTGCGTGAAGAAAACACAATAAACTGAACAGAAAAGATTAATTCTAGTACTTGCTAGTAACTCAATGATAAAAGGTTCTGCAATGCTCAAGACGAAAGCAGGTTCTAGTTCACCCACTGTAACAACTGAGTAAGATTAACTATTAGCTCTAGATTAGGCTGCTTATTCTGGTCACTAAGTCACATTCACCTGGGGATTAGTGCAGTTATTTAAAGTCAAACTTCTTTGATCAACAGGCCTAAATTATTGTTTATTTTTTAAAATAAAAATTGTATGCATTTAAGGTACAAAACATGACTTGATATAATTATATGGTGAAATGACGATTATGACTTTTTTGTTGTGAGATCACCTGAAGTCTTAGCCAATTTCCAGTATCTCTTATCACAAATGGTTTGCAAATATTTTCTCCCAGTCCATAGGTGATCTTTTCATTTGGATTGTTTCCTTTGCCATATGGAAGTGTTTTAGTTTGACATAGCCCCACTTGTTTATTCTTGCTTTTGTTGACTGAGCCTTTGTGGTAATACGCAAAAAGTCATTGTCAAGGTTGATGCTACGAAGCTTGCCCTCTGTCTTCTTGCAGAGTTCTACAGTTTCAGGTCTTTAATCTATTTTGAGTTAATTTTTGTGTTTGGTGTAGGTTCAGGTTCCAGTTTCCCCAGCACTCCCTATTATCCTCTCCTCACTGTATTCTTGGCACCCTAATTAAAAGTTAGTGAACGTACCTGAGTGGGCTATTTCTGGGCTGCCTGCCGTTTCCATCGGTCTGTGTGTCTGCTTTTATGCCAGTACTACACTGTTTTGATGAGAGCTTTGCAATATAATTTGAAATCAGGAACTATGATACCTTGCACTTCGTTGTTCTTGAGATCGCTCTGGCTGTTTGGGGTCTTTGCAGTTCCCCAAATTTTATGATTGCGGTTCATACAAATTTTATGATTTTTTTTCTATTTCTGTGAAAATTGTCATTGGTATTTTGATAGGGATTGCACTGAATCTTTATATTGCTGTGAGTAGTATGGACATTTTGACAATATTAATTCTTCCAGTGAATGAACATGGAACAGTTTCCATTTATTTCTTCAATTTCCTCCACCGGTGACTGAATTAACAATAGGATGAGGTGTCAGCTCCTCTATTTTTTGTTTGCTTTCTCAGTATTATTGTCAATCTGATTTCTTTATAGGGTTCTGTTTAATTAAGTCTCCTGTCCACTCTGTACTGGTAGTTCAGCTAAAAGTAGATAATATAACCTAAAATCAATTTAACTGGGCATATGTAAACTTCAATATATTGCAACACACAGAAAAAGTGAATGAAGTCAGCCCTTCTGTGTTGTCATACCTGCAGTTTTCCTCAGCTAACATTACATACCGTAACATGTAAGAATGCCAGTGTAAGGCCTCACTAAATACTAATAAAGCTTACTTGTTCTTCTGTGTAAGCAAATATAGTATAAATTTTAATGTTATCTTCCCACACACCAATGGATTGCCTTGCATGCAACCTGTGGGCATTGTTTTGGAGAGCATAATTAGGGGATTTCAATCCCAACAGCTTTTGAAAGCTATCTAACCACTATTCTCTAAACTATAGTCACTATTTTAAGAGGAAAGGGGCCCCCTGTTTGAATAAGAGATGAGAGGGATCGAGAAGAGTTTTTCTCACATTCAAAAATTATCCTAACGCATAAACACAAATATTCCCAAAGTAGTTTATATACCTAAAAACTTCACAAATTTAGGCTGGAGAACTGGTAACAGTGCTATTGGAAATGATTACTGTTACTTTTACATTGGAAAGTATGTGATTTAGCTATCCCCAAAGATTTTTTATAACCCTTAGATTCTTCCTGTTCTAAAGTTCCAGTTTTTTGTGTCACAGGGTAACGGTGCTGATGCACAGCTGTAGGAAACAGTAGCGCCGAGAGCGGACGTGGCACAGCAGCAGCAGCAGTGTGAGGAGGGGGATCGTTCATGCTGGTTTCCTGGGAGTCTGCTGGTCGTGCTGTCCTGGTGTCATTACCTGTAGTGCCCCTTTTACTCTAAAGCTTTCCTCATGAGTGCTAATTTCCTTTTTAGGTGGAAGGCAGGAGAGAGAATGCAGTGGGGGAAGACAGTGCACTAGAATTTCCTGCTCTGGACACCAGAAGGCGATGGTGACTCAGGACGACCTAGGCAATAAGCTTTCATAGGTAAGCTGGATAATCATCATTTTTGCAATTATAGCAACTTGCACAGTATTTATAGTGGGCATTCAATACTCGTTTGTTGAATGGGTGAATGAGAGCCTATATATTAAAGGATGTACTTAAGAGAATACACTAAATAATTAGCATATTATGTAAGACTTCCCAAATCAAGCCTCTTGAATGCATTTGCAGTAGGAACAGAGTATTATTATGAATATATTTGAGATACATTTTATAGTTCTTATGGAAAAAAGATTCTTTAGAGCTTAATTCAGAGCCCTGAAATCAGTACTGAAAAGGACTTATGTCCTGTCCTTCAGGTAACGGGGCAAAGGGTGAAATGCGGTGCTTCACTACTCTGTATTCTTCATATTACATAAGACTTTTATTGTGTCAAAAGTTGATTGATATAAGTAGGTCTTAGCAGAGGTGGAGGAATATTTTTACAGTCACAAGTAAGTACAGAGTTACTCTGTTAATATACTCGAAAACAATGCAAAATGGATTTTAAATTTCATCTTTATCTCCTATAGCTTCACGATTGCAGTCAAGTGTATTAAGTCTGCAAAATTAAATTTTTATATTGAATAACTTAAAATATGTTGCAGATTATTTATAATTCTGTAGCACTTGCTTAATTTTCAATATAGCTTATAAAGTTACGAGACCAAATTATAAAATTTTTAAATGTTTTGTTTCTGTAACCAGATAGAAAAGTAACAAGTCATTTAAAAAATATATTTTTATTGTAGTAAAATGTTATATAACAAAATTTGCCATTTTAACCATTTTTTTGTATACAGTTCAAGTAGCATTAATTACATTCACAAAGTTGAGCCACCATCACCACTATCTATTTTTAAAAAATGTTTCCATTACCACAAAGAGAAACTGCAGCCATTAAGGAATAATGGCCCCGCTCCCTAATCTCTCTCGCTCCCTACTCTCTCCAGTCTCCGGTAACCTCTGATCTCCCCTGTCTCTCTGAATTTGCCTCTTAGATATCTCATGTAAGTGGGATCATACAATATCCATCCTTCTGTGTCTGGCTTATTTCACTTAATGTTTTCAAGGTTCAGAGATTTTGCTGCATGCATTAGAACTTCACTCCTTTTTATGGCTGAATGTCCCCACTGATGTGTGCACCACATTTTGTTTACCCATTAATTTGCTTACAGATCCTTGGGCTTCCCACCTTTTGGCTACAAGAATAGTTCAGCAAAAAGCATCAGCACGCGAGTGCCTGCTTCAGTCCCAGTTTTTAATTATTTTGGGTATATACCCAGGAGCACACCTGTTGAATCGTATGATGATTGTCTGTTTAGCTTTTTGAGGAAACTATAAACTGTTTTCACAGTGGGATGCATCATTTTACATTCCAACCAGCCATGTACGAGGGTTCCGTTTATCCATCAATGGACACTTAGGTTGCTTCCGTACCTTGGCTATTGTAAATAATGCTGCAACCAACATGGAAACACAGGTATCTCTTCAAGATAATGATTTTTGTTTCCTTTGGATATGTATACCCAGGAGTAGGGTTGCTGGGTCATATGGTAGCTCTGTTAATTTCTTGAGGGAGCTCCTTCCTGTTTTCCATAGTGGCCACCAGTGTACATTCCCACCAAAAGTACACATAGGTTTTCTTGTATCCACAGCCTCACCAGCATCTGTTATCTCTGTGTTTTCAGAAAACTTGTTATAGAAACACTACTGATTTTTGCATGGTTTGTGCCTCCCAACTTCACTGTATTGATCAGTTCAAACAAATGGAGGCAATTTTGAGTCTTCCCTTCCCATTTGGATGCCTCCCATTTCTCTCTCACACCTAACTGCTCTGGTTATGGCTTCCAATACATGCTGAGTGGAAGTGGCAAGTGGCCACCCTCATCTCGTTCCTGATCTTAGAGGAAAGGCTTTCACCATTGAGGACACAGAGTGGGGCAAAAGTCGGTTTACACTTGCTTGTAGGGAAAATAATACAATCACTAATAAATAATAATACAATAAAATCTGTGTTTTGCGTACTCATAACTGTAAACCGACTTTTGCCCCACCTTGTATTATCAACTGTTGACTTGTCATATAAGGCTTTCGTTAGGTTGGCATGTTTCTTTAAGATCTGCATTGTTGACAGTTTTTATCATGAACAAATACTGAATATTGACAAGTGCTTTTCCTGAGTCACTGAGATATCATTCTCAGTCTACTA